GCAGGAGAAGGAACGGGGTGGTTTTTAGTCAGTAAGAGTCTGACACTCCCTCCCGCCTCACCCAGGCGGGAGCAGTAATTCGATGATTTTCCCCCTTAAAAAAAAATATTATTATATACAGTTATATTATATAAGGCCCTATCACCACCTTTCGGTAAGTTTCGATCAGTCTAACTGGGGAATAATTTGATATAGTTAGTCTAGTTAGTCTTTCAAACGAAATGTGTCAGTTAAGCTAACAGAAAATTAATGTGTATTGATAAATATTATAATAACAGATATTTAGCTAAACACCACGGGGATAAAAGTGGCCGGCAGCGCGCGGGGTGTTATATTGATCAATTGCCTGTTATGATTCTTTTTCAGTTGAACTTTGAGTAAAGTATTAATATAAATAAAAAACATAAAAGACTGCCTCGTTAGCCGAGTGGTCACAAATGCGACTGCCGGGCTAGGGTCTCGGGTTCGATTCCCGGGTCGAACAAAATATTACGGGGTTTTTAAAAAAATCTCAGTAGTAGCACGGAATCTGGAATTGTGCCCGGTATATAGCAATAGGCTCACCCCCTATTACATGGGACTCATAACATAAATAGGGAAAAGTGGATATTACATTGTACAATGGTATTTATTAAGTGCCGTAATGTGCACCTCTGCCTACTCCTTCGGGGATAAAAGGCGTAATGTTATGTTACGTTATTAACATAACATAAAGTCAAGTTATAAATACATTAACAACAAATTAACACGTGTATTTAACATTTTCTAGGTGGCAATCTTCGGTCAGGAAGCCATATTCAGAAACGGTGAACCTGTTGGTTACCTTAGGAGGGGAGACTATGCCTTCTACCTAGATAAACCTATAGGTATCGGCTACGTGACTAACAAGGGCGACCTAGTCACCAAAGATTACTTAAAAGAGGGAGATTATGAGATTGAGGTTCTAGGACAGAAGCACAAAGCGACATTGCACTTTAAATCTCCATTCGACCCTAATGGGCAAAGGTTACTTGGCAACTACGGTCCTCAAGGCATGGACGAGAATACCCATGAACCCCACGCAGGACAAAATGAAAGAGCCGGCGGTAGTGAATAAACTCCTTAGTGTAGAATGATCTCAAATGTAAATTCTTAATAAATCCTGTATGTATGTATTGTTATTGTTCGTTTTATTTCATTTTAAACTAGCTTCTGCTAGATAATACCTAGCCTGCCACTAACTGTCGCGGAGAACCTAATGGGTAACCGGGGCTCCGAGTCGACGTGCAGGAGAAGGAACGGGGTGGTTTTTAGTCAGTAAGAGTCTGACACTCCCTCCCGCCTCACCCAGGCGGGAAGAGTCATTCGATGATTTTCCCCCCTTAAAAAAAAAGCCTGCCACTAACTAAATTATAGACCGTATTTTCAATGTTAAGAGACTACTTTTGTATGAACAAATTTAGAGGAAGAATTTCAACGGGCTAAACAAAACTACCCGTTTCAAAATTCATCCCGATCCCTTTTACCGTTTTTGATTAACAACATACAAATCACAAAGTTTCACATTTAGGTATAATATTAGTATATATATAGTAGATAGATAGGTTTATGTATTCGATAAGACAAATTATGTACTTCCCAGAAGTCCCGTGGTATTTTATTGTTAGTATCTATTAAAAGCGTGGGAAATACTACGTAGTTTAATGGTATTTTTATTGTTTCGTTTTATCTCATTAGTATATTGCCAAATTACCATGCCCATTCTTTCTTGCCTTTCCAGAAGTCCCTGGCATTTTTTTTTAATTTGAAACAATGGTAGAATATAATTATGTCGAAATATCTATGTGTATCAGAATAGATATTAATTTGAATTTGAAGATGGTAAGTAATAAAAATTTTATTTGAAATTAAAACATTATATAGTTTTTTTACTTTTCACGATTTTTTAACTTAGCCTTACTTGTAAACTGTAGGTACCAATAATAATGTTTATAATGCAACAATTATTCAGGAAACAAAGATTTGATTGATAAAACCGGCTTGCCTTCTAGCTCGTCTGTTTTACTAACTTTTTGTAAGCTTTTCTGTGCAGCTTTGCTGTACTTTGAAGCGGATAGAAGGATTGAATTGAGAACCTCCTCCTTTTTGAAATCGGCAAAAATAATAATAAGAACTTGGAAACTTTCTGTCTCCGCTCGCTTCCTGTCACTGATTATACAGGGTTGCCAATTTAAGAGTTTTACCTGTAAATACGGAAGTTACAGTTATTGAAATTTATGTAGTATGTAAGTATATTTTTTTTGGAAGTATTATTCGTGCGTTTACTTATCATTATGATAAAAGCATAAAAATATGTACCTTAAAACTTTGTTTTAGCGGTTATAGACAACCGATAAAATCTTGGACACAAGTTAAAACCAAGAATAACAATATTAAAAGCTTTATTACAAAATACACATTTTATAACTCAAACCTAATTTGAAAAAGAAAAAGCTAAACTGACTTAAGAATAAAACATTATTTAACCATGTTAATAATTATTATTCACTTGCGAGTTTTGAGGGGTAAAAATTTGTGAGTTGGCAACACTGATAACGTCAAAGTGATCTAATGAGGTTAGGAGCCGTGTTTATTTATTATTGTGATTCCAGTCGAGTAGACAATACGGGACTACGGGTGTTTATTTAAGATTGAATTTGAATAATAGAAAGTGAAATAAATAAGTGAAAATGTCTGTAACATTACATACTGATGTAGGAGATATTAAAATAGAACTATATTGCGAGCAATGTCCAAAAGCTTGTGAGAATTTCTTAGCTCTGTGTGCTAGTGATTATTACAACGGCAGTCTGTTTCATAGGAATATTAAGGTAAGGAAATTCACATTAACGATATTTATACACTATTATGTTTATAATAACACACATAATATTATGATACACTAATATACTGCCTAAGAACAAATTGTTTCAAAAATAACCTAACATATTTTGTTTATTTATTTCTAGGGTTTCATAGTACAAACGGGAGATCCTACAGGTACAGGAAAAGGTGGAACTTCTATCTGGGGGCGTAAATTTGAAGATGAATTTAAAGAAGAGTTAAAGGTATGTAAATTATAACATCTTTTTTGATAATTTGTATGAGAATTGAAGATAAACAATTCATACATTTCCAATTAGTGAAATATTTAATTATTATTCGATATTATTTAATAAACATAATGAATTAAGTGGATACTGCATTGTATATGAGCACCAAGCATGCTATTGGGTTATATAGGTACCCATGTAACATTTTCATATAGGTGAAAATCTACAGATATGCTATAAGTAGCAATGTAAATTTTGTACTAAGGGTGGTAATTAAAGGTCATTCATCACTCATGGTATTTTTTATAATTTCCAGCACAATGCAAGAGGAATGGTGAGCATGGCAAACAATGGACCTAACTCCAATGGCAGTCAATTTTTCTTCACCTATGGAGAACAACCTCATTTAGACCTAAAATACACTTTATTTGGCAGGTAAGATAATAATAAATTAAATTAATCAATAACCACCTTTACCACATGTATCAATAGTGATGAAACCTTTTTGTTAAAAATAAAATACATGGGGTATTTTGTGTTGATTTTTGTGAATTATGCCTGAATTCACAAAAATCGGTGTAATGTATGTAGAAGTTTACATTAAAATTTAATGGTTTTCTAAGTCAAAAGTCAAGCAAAAATTGGACTGATATTGGGCACTATTTCAAGCACAATTTTTTGAGACGTAAATTGTACCTATAGCTCGTTCGATATTCGCGCACTGAGGTGAGTATGCTGGGCGTAGAACCTACGCCCAGCATACTCACTGAACGAAGCCTATAACTCCGAAGTTATTCCAGCACTGTTTTTTCTTTTTGGGCACCGTTTGGCACTATTTGGGAACTATTTTTTGAAGTATGAATTATGTTTGAAGCGTATACAGATTCTCCGGATGGAGGTGAGTATGCTGGGCGAAACCTTCGTCCAGCATACTCATCGAACTATGGCTATAACTTCGCAAGTACAAGAGCACTATTTTTTTCCTTTGGGCACTATTTAGCACTATTTCAGAACAGTTTTTTGACATTCATGAAATATCAGGATTCTATGGTGAGTATGCTGGACGAAGGGACACATCAAGGAAAACCACTACAAAAATGTAAATATTTACAATAAACATTATCCCTATTTTTTTACATAGGTACTAGGTGTGCAACAAATACCACATATCTAACATTAGTTTCCTATTTAATCTGTATAACAGTATTTTAAAACATTTTTCTCTCTATTTCAGGATTATAGATGGATTTGAAGCACTGGATGATCTAGAAAAAATGACTGTCAACCCAAAGACCTACAGACCACTCACAGATGCCAAGATCACTTCAGTTACGATACATGCAAACCCATTAGCTGGATAATAATAAAATATATAAAAAAGCTTATGTTTTTTACTTGACTTTGGAAATAGATATGAGATGACATTGTTTGCATCTTTTTCAGTTTTGAATATTGCCCCACACTAGGATTTTCTCCTGTGTCCTTGGTGCATTTACAAACATAAGTTCACATACACATGATAACCAGACCCAGAACAACAGTCTGTGGATCACACAGAGTTGCTCCGTGAATTATAAAATAACTTTTGCAATATATAGGGCCTGTTGACCAGTTTCTGTTAGTCCAACTGATAAGTTGATGTCTTTTCTATATGAAATCTAACAGTCACTCATCAGACATCGTGAAGGAGGTTTCATGTTTGCTGTGGAGTTAATTTAGTAAATGTGTAGAAAATTAATTTAGTCTACTGCTAGGGGTACAAAAATAAATAAAATCAGTTACTAAGTGGACAACATTTATTGCAGATAAAGATTTACATTATCTATATTTGCATATTTCTGAATAATTTGCATTTATACTATACAAAAATTAAGAGCAAGACAAGAATAGCTTATTTTAACAATCTTTTATTTTGATGCAATAATCTTTTTTAATATGATTTAATTTGCTAAGTAGTAGTTTGGTAGTGTTGTGCAATACTGAATGATAAAATTGAATAAGATTTTTAAGTCTTCAAAAACATTACTTTTTAATATTATCATTTAAATGTTTTATATGTAACTACCTTCTCAAATTACTTCTAGTTACCGTTTTAGTACTAACTATAAATGCATGACTTGATTATTTTTTGACTTTATTAAAAAAAGTAAAACCACCTGGGTGCTAACCATAAAGTAAAAATTGTATGCACTAACTAAACAGTCATTATAAGTATTTTAATATTAACATTTAACATATCTACAGTTATCACTTGATAGGGACAGTGTTTGTGCTCACTTATAATAATTGCAAATCAGTTTTTATTCATGGTACACTTACATCAATTAGAACTAGATATCTTTGGAAAAACTAAAGAGTTTTATGAGGAAGCATGAGCTCTCATTAATTCAGATCTAATTTTAAGAATAAAACTTTATATTACATTTACTACACACTTGTTCACATCCATTTTAGAGACATAGGCCTCTAAATCTAAAACTTGTTAACATTATACAAATTTCTAATACCATATCTAATAAGATTTTAACTTACAAATAACAATGACAAATAACAAATAATAAACATAATTTTTGGTAAAACAATTCCTCAATATGAGAAGCTCACAATGTGTTAAAATAAATCAGGTTATTATATTAAATGTTTATAATTGATTTAATAACAAATACCAAATACGGTGGGCTTAAATAATAGAATGGGGGACTCAGACTTTTCATAATATTAACCAAACAAATAGGTACTTTTATAATTTAACATTCACCAATGTAAAAATTACCACCTTATTCTCAAAGCAATAAAATACCTAACTATTAAGTACTAAGTGAACAATAAGTTACACTGTGGTGCCATACAATAATCAGACATAAGGTTTACATTATTTTCTAGATTCTTAAGTTTCAAGATCATAGAAATTATCTTCCAAATTGAATTCCGTATCCTCTTCCTTTTTTATCTCGGCCTCAGTTAATTTATCATCAAAATTTTCAGTGAAATGAGATTTAATATGTGCAACTAGATCAGGCTTCTTTTCAAATGTGGCACCACATTCTATGCAAGGCATATTCACAACCAGGCACTCATGAGTTTGTTCATGCTTATCAAGTTTGTCTTTCTTAGTGAATTTTTTGTCACACTGACTACAAGAAAAAGGTTTCATACCAGAATGGAGAGCTGCATGGCGGTCCAATTCCCGCTTGCGAGGGAACTTTTTGAAACAAATTTTGCACTGGAAGATCCTTGAACCTATATGTGCAATAGACACATGTGTTTTGTAAGAATCTAAAGAGCTAAACCTTTTTGGACACTGGTGACATTTGATATTTTTAGGTTTGTTTTTATTTGTCACAGCTTTCTGTTTCGGTGGTGATTGTGTGGTCTTAGAAGAAGCAGAAGTATTTTTCTGTACTTTCATAAAACTGCTCTCCCCTGAAATATGATCTGGTACTCTTGGAAGATCATATTCAGCATTTGAAGAGTCTGGATGGAGCTGTGTAGGAGAAGTCATGAGATTGCTGAAGGGGTTTACATTTACTACCATGTCATGACTGTCATGATCATGATCATACTCTGTCTTGCCCGGGCTTAATGGGCCATGTCTCATTTCATGCTTGATTAGTTTATCCCTTCTACCAAAACTTAAATGACATTTTCGACAAGCAAAGGGCTTCATTCCTGAATGAACAAGTACATGGCGTTGCAAATCACCCTTGGCAACAAAACTTCTTGGACAAAGGGGGCAAACATGAGGTTTATGCCCAGCATGAATACGAAGGTGTTTACTGAGATTTGTATTACGGGAGAAACTTTTCAAACAATATTGACATTGATATGGCCTAATGCCAGTATGAACAATGGAATGCTTTCTCAAATCAGAACGTCGGCCAAAACACTTATCACATTCAGGGCAGTGGTAAGGTTTATCATTTCCATGTACTTGTTTAGTATGCTGTACATACTGACTACGCTCAGCAAAGACTAGACTACACTCAACACATTTATAAGGTAAGTTAGGGTCATGATAATTGTGTTCATGCTCCTTACATTTCTCTTGTGAAACAAAAGCTTGGTCACAGAATTGACACATGAAAACATTTTTGAAAAATGATTCTGCCATTGGCTCACCATCTGGGGTATTGTTCCTTTCAATTACCTCTGGCTCCACTGGTTCCATGTTTTCAGACTCCTCTGAGGAGTCATAGTCGAGGCTTGGATCCACCACCATCACAACACTGTCTTCAACAATGTAATCTTCAGGTTTTACTTTTGGACCATCTTGAGAATGGGAGCCATAGTTATAGTTACTAAGTTCTGATGAATTAGAGTTATCCAGCTCATTGGCTCTTGTAGTTATTTGCCTCAATCTGGTCTCACTTTGAATGCATTGAAGCTTGAATTTTGAACATTTATCAACTTTGAACAAGCATTTGTAGCAAATCCTGTTAGGCAGCCCATCGTTAGGATCGATCTGAAATAATATTGGACGTTATAGATACGATAATTCTTTGAGAAATCATTTAAAAACGTAAAAGATAATGTACAACTTACCTGTAACTCGAAACACTCAGCTAGTTTGGAGGTTAAAGAAACATTTGATTCGTCGTCAGGCACAGCTGCGAATATCGATGTCGCGAACGTACTTTTGTTCAGACACAGTCGACATAGCGTGTGGAAATTAGCGATAATGTAAGAATCTTCCATTTTGTGCACAACTAAACATCAGAGAAATAAAATCGCTGAGATAACACTATTGACAGGATATCGACTTTATATTGTTTTTGTTGTTTCAAAATTCACTTTAGGAACACACTGATGTAAAAAATAATTGGGGCTCAGAGGCTACGGTCGTGTGTCGTGACTACGCAACCGCTCGATCCGAAGGGGCAACTGGGGCGATGTCCGCCAGGGCTGCGCTAGCGGAATGTATCGCGGTATTTGCAGTTGGTTCCGTCATCATATTCAACACTCAACACTTCGTCTTTTAAATAATCTCATCGAAAGTAAAAATAAACTTGTATGTGAGATCGCCATGAGGATAACATACAATGCTATACTTAATTTATAAAAATTCAAATTTGAATTATTGTTTGCTACTAAAACCGCGCTTCTTTGGCGGAAATATGGAATTAGTTGTTTTCATTTTACAAATCTACATTAAATGTTTGTCATTGGTTGATTTTGTTCCGCAACGATTTCCACCAATCAACGTTGAGAAGTATTATTGCTAGCATTTGAGATAGAACTACTAAATACCAAAATATTGCCAGATGTTAAAATATTTTTCACTGTCTCGTGATTTTTATGTTTTTTTTTTATATAATTATGTAAAAATAAAATGATTTAATAACTAGTATGTAACTACTAGTTATTAAATCATTGTTAGTAATAATACTAACAGTCGAAATTAAGTTTGAACCTATCACAACTTTATTTATAGTCAGTCTCCAACTCCCGAAACCACCCCAAACAACAAGTGCTGCCAGGCTATAATCCGGAGCTCTTCGAAAATGATGGCACATAACTAGTCGATATCCAGTAACACATTTGTGTTGGCGATGCTTCTCTCTGGTGATGCAAGCGTATTGATTGCAGGTGACTGTTTATTGTCAACAGTGTCAACATTTATTGCTGATGATTGAAGTGTTAAAATATAAGCCTCTCTGTATCGTACAGTGGAGCTAAAAGTTTTATGTACGGAGTCGAACAAAAGTTTATTTATTTATTTATTTAAGTTAGATGCAGTATCACAATATACTTAGGTACCTGTGCACTGCGCAGATAATAATGACTGCTTCGTTTAATAAAACTGTTAATGTAAAGTTAATTACATAGGTACCTACTTTATTAATTATCCTGCGTTCATTATAGCACACAAATTGGGAATATAATATTTTAATCTGTTTTTGATTATGCATAGTTATGCTTGCCACTGTTTGATTGCGCCATTATTTTTAGGAGGGCTTCTTCCTCGGAAATGATTGCGCAGTATCTAAGATGGCTCGCAATGTTACAATAGTGTGCCTTTCAGATTCAAAAAGCCTGACACTCTAATGAAGTTACTTATTTGATGATTTTCTATCTTTTTTAAAACCTCAAATCTTAAAGAAACAATATTTGCATTACAATTCTCATTTAATATTTTATTTACCTAGATATATTAATTTCAGTCCTACTCATAAGTCTTCTTGTTTTTGGTGTCAATTTACTATGCTCTCCTAGACGGTCTTTATTCCTGTGTATTGGGAGCTGCACATCTGACGTAATCTTCATCTATGCACGACTGTGAAGCTTCATCGAATGCGAGTCCACCATCGCAGCTCAGGAGTCGAGGATGGCCCAGTTGGCAGGCGATGTACTGTTTACATTGATTCCCGAACCTTGTAATAAAAAAATATAGTTAAAATTTTCCATCAAGTTATACGTGATAAAGAGGAAGGATTATTTCTGTGGACGTCCTCTGCTCCTTCTACGACACAGAACATATAGATACATAGACAGCCGCCATATGATATATACAAAGGAGACCAAATCATATTTACCTGTATTTGTAGATGATATCAGAAACTAGTCCATCATTGTCTTTAGGGGGATCAGGGCAGACGAAGTCCTTGAACACTAAAAAATTGTATAAAAACATTTTAATAAACTTGTAAAGTGTTTTAACACAAATTTTATTGTCAATAATTATATCTTACCAGACGGGCTACATTGTGGTACATTCGACGGCCAATCACAGATGCTTATTTCAGAGTTGAATACCAGACCCATGGGACATTCCATGACGGTAGCTGCACCTTCTTGGCACATGATGTATTTGCTGCAGTCACCGTTTTCAATCGCGTAGTAACCGTATTGATTGGGACATTGGTCGGTGGCCTTTGGAATTTCTGGAATGGACACAGAAATAGTAAATGTAAAAAAATGGTAAAGGTATTAGGTAGATGAAGTATTTAATTGGATTTTTGCCTTTACCCATACTTAATATTAGATTTAGACAGTGTCTATGAGTAAGTACTTACGTTCTACGGCACCAGCTACGCATTTCACTTCTGATGGATAAGCGCAAGGATATTCGTAACGTTTCGCTGCAGGATTGAAGTGCAGACCATCAGGACACAAGTACTTATATGCTTTATCGTGCTGCAATGAGATAAAGGACATTAATTTAAGTATTACATTAGCTGAAAACAGATATGAAAACTGATAAAAAAAAGTTTTAGCTTACATTGCAGTCGATGAAGGTATCGCATTCGTTAGCGACTGCATAGTAACCATCTCCTTTGCATTGGAAGTCCACCCATAAGTATCCAGGCGGTAGTGTTACAGGGTTCGGGTCATAAGTCACCGGCGCTGGGGGATAGGTGACCGGTGCAGGAGGATAAGTTACCGGTGCTGGGGGATATGTGACCGGTACAGGGGGATAAGTGATCGGTTCAGGAGGAAAAGTGACCGGTACAGGGGGATAAGTGATCGGTTCAGGAGGAAAAGTGACCGGTGCAGGAGGATTTGTGATTGGTGGTAAAGTAGGCGGAAGTGTTGGCTGCACTGTTGGTTGCTCCGTGGTTACATCGTTAGACGACGTTGGATTTCGGATAAAAGCAAGTTCCCGAACGTGTTCAGGCTTAGGAAGAAGTGGCGGTAAAGACTCCGGCTTTGAAGGTAGAGGTACAGGAGGCACATAAGCTGCTACACGGATCTCTGAAAATTGTGGTTCAGAAAGAGGTACGAGTGTTTGTGCTGGCTCTGGGGCGGGTTGTTCCAACTCTGGTCGATCGTAATGAGGTTGTTCGTAAACCGGTTGTGGCAGTAAGATTGGTTCTGGCGCAGGTGCAGGAGGTTGAACATAGACTGGACCCGGTAGTGCAACAGGTTCAAGTGCTGGGGGTTGATCATGAACTGGTGCTGGTTGAGGTATTGGTTCTAGTGCAGGGGATTGAACAAAGACTCGTGGAGGCAATGGGATTGGTGCAGGAGCAGGCGGTTGTTCATATACTAGAGCCGGTAGTGCAACAGGTTCAGAGGCAGGGGGTTGTGCACTGATTGAAGCCGGCAGTGAAACAGTTTCTTGTGCCGGGGGTTGAACATAGGCCGGAGCTGGTAGAGCAACCGGTTCTGGTGCAGGGGGTTGAACATAGGCTGGAGCTGGTACTGCAACCGGTTCTGGTGCAGGGGGTTGTTCATAGACTGGAGCTGGCAGTGGAACAGGTTCTTGTGCCGGGGGTTGAACATAGGCCGGAGCTGGTA